CTTTTTAACTCAAACAAGTATTAACAATATCAGGAAAAATAACCACCATTTTATACAGCCTGTTAGTCCTGGTTAAGATGTGGAGACTCTGAGGCTCAAAACATTTCAGCAGATCTTAACCGAATTTGTATATTCACCAAGTCATGGAAACCTGACTTGGAAAGGGAAAAAGGGAAACTGTCTAAAGATTTGAAAGTTCTGTTTTTCTTGTCTCTTGCTATTGTAGCTCTGTTCATTTCACTTTTTCAGTCTGCATAACAAAAGGAACTGGAAGAGAGCATTCAGGCTCTTATCATGGCCAGAGACCTAATTTCTTTTGTTATTTTATGGTCTATGACTGACTTTAGCTACTTAAGTTTCACCTCTTAGGAACTGGAAAAGAATGAGGAACTCTGTACCTGCCTTATAGAAATTTATATCAGATACCTAATAGGAAGTGGAGGAACACTTTTCTCCTTGATCATTAGATCATTAGAGTCTAATGTCTGTGCCATCTTATTTCTAATTACTCCTTTGTAGCATATCTCTATGGCCTAGTCAACACTGGTTAATACTATGTGGCAAATAGCTTTGTGTTTATTGGGTCTTCCTATCTCTTTACCCAAGATCTACACGTACACATGAGAGGTGTTTCCTGTTGTCTATGCCATCTAGTCACGGAATTAGACTGATGGTAGTCTAGGGTCCTGTCTCATTCACTTGCCCTTCATGGGCTTATCTCTTTAGGTAGCCTTGTTTGGTTATTCCTTCCTCAATCAGTTCTAGCTCATTAACCCCCTTCCCTCTTCTTTCTGTTTGCTTAGAAAAACCAATCAATCTCTCCTGCACACATTCTTTACTTCCCACCTTTTCTGTGCTCTGTTTATTTATGAATCATAGTTGATAAAGAAGAAATATTAGTAGTGCCATTAATATGCCACAGAAGACATGACCTTTATGCCCAAGACTGTAGATATTTTGCGGAAACATATTTAACATGTAGACACCATTCAATAAAATGAAATGCTCAAGTGTATGCAGTAGGGGTTTATAAAGGGAGCAGAATACTATAGATTGAAGGGTTCTACCAGCCATAGAGGTGAATGTTGAAGTTCTGAAGGACATACCTCTCTGAGGGACAAGGTGAAGAGGAAGAAGATCTGAGAAAGAGATTTGGGGCCCATGTGGAGTCATGGTTGTGTGGGAAAAGAGTGACTAGCATGATAAGCAGAGGACCGTTTAGGAGAAGGTTGATGTAGCAATTAATAATGAACTTTTGTCCAGCACATTTTTTTCTCTAGCTTTATTTTGACATTATTTAACAACTTAGACAAGATTGCAAGAATAGTACAAGTAATCTAATATAGATTGTTCTGATTTTTTTCATCACAAATGAGTTTCATTTCTAGAACTTCATATAAATGGAATCATACAATTTTTACTCTCTTGTTTCTGGATTCTTTCATTGTACTCTTTGGTGTTAGAGTTTTTGTGAGCATAATGTTCCTGGAATTTGTCCATACTGTTGCAGGTATTAATAGTTCATTCCTGTTCATTGATGAGTAGTGTGGTACAATTTATTTGTGTATTTGGATAGGAGATTTGGGTTGTTTTCTGTTTGGGCTCTTTATGAATAAAGCAGCTATAGAATTTTTGGGAAAGTCTTTTTTATTGATGTATGGCTTTATTTCTTTTGGCTAAAAACCCTGGGACTGGAATGTTGGGTCATAGGTTAGGTTTATGTATAATAAATTGCCAAACTTTCTTTTAAAATGGTTATACCATTTTACCACTCCCATGAGTAGTGTATGAGAGGTCTGGTTGCTTTGTATCCTGGCTAATATTTGATGTTGTCAGCTTTAAATTTTGACTCTCTCTGTGTGAGGGCATAGGTCATCATGATTATGATCTCATGTCCTTGGATGCTAAGGTATTAAACATTTTCTTTATTTGCTTATTGGACATTTGTGTATTTTCTTTTAGAACTGTCTCTCAATCTTGTGGACTTTTTTAATAAAAAAAGTTAACCTTTTATTCCTGAATTGTAATAGTTCTTTATGTATTCTGGATGTTAGCTCTTTGTCGGATAAATGTTTAGTAAATATTTGTTTCCAGTCTTATATTCTTAATGGTATCTTCTGATGATCACAAGTTTCTCATTTGATGTAATTTAATTTGTCAGCTTTTGACTGGATGATTTTGTTTTCTTTTTCCTATCTTAAAAACTTTAACTATCCAGGTGATAAAGTAGTCTCCATTTTTAAAAAGCAGCTTTACAGTCTTAGTTTTTAGTTTTAGGTCTCTGATCTGTAATGAATTCATTTTGTATAATGTATGAGGTAAAGGTTGAGGTTTTTTCCCCCTCATGGTATGTAGATGCCTGTATGCCATTTGTAAAAAAAAAGAAAAGAGTTTCTTTTATGATAGGATCATCTTGATGTCTTTGTCAAATGCCAACTGCCTGTAAAAGTGTGGGTCTGTCTCTTGGCTCATTTATTTTACTGACGTATTTTTAGATGTAAGTCCACACTGTCTTGATTACTATAGCTTGATAGCAATTCTTTCTCTACTGGCTGTAATATGAAAACAAAGCTTCACAAGAATGTAAGTCAACATGTAAGTTCTTAGCTAGTGTATGAATTGGTAGGTAACTGTGTTTCCCCTCTTTTGTATGTGTTTTAATTTTCTGTAACATAGACTGTAGACACACAACAGGTTTGAATCATGCTCTGCTGCTTACCAGTGGTAGGACCACTGGCAAGTTACTGTTAATCATCAGTTGAATCATCTTTGAGTTCAGCAAACCATGATACCTAATACCAGTATTATTTTAAGATACTCTTTTAAGCTACTATATATAAGGTGCTTAACTCAATGGCAGGTGTACAATAAGTACTTCAGAGTGTCACCTGTGTATACTAACATACTTTACTCATACATTCCCTGTGCAGATCATTTAAATGTGGGCAGAGCTGAATCTTTTGTATTTTATAGATGTAAGTGGATACTGAGAGCCAGCAGAAGGAGCTTTGTAAGACACCAGAATATCTGCTAATAGAAAATAACAACAATGACAGGCTTTGTTTCCTACAGGGATCTTGTGTTTATTCGCTCAGACAATTGTCATTGAAATGTTCTTGGTTATTGTATTTGGGTCCATTTTCTGTTGCGTCCCAAAGAAAATCAACATGGAAAATGGACTCCTAGTTTCTGTATGGTGCTGCTTCTGGCAGTGGACATGCCTGAGTTTGCTGTGCCAGACAGCAGTCTCTGTCAATTTTGCACATGGATGTTAAGTAGTGCATGGCAGAGCAGAGTCACGTCTGATCCACTCAGAACATCATTATCGCACCTCTGTTGAGACCTCGATTTTCAGACTCTGTTCTCACTTTGATACAGCCCTACTAAGTTGACATGCAGCTGCCTGGGAAAGGGTGGTGTCATTTGGTGTCTTTTCCATAGACCTAGAGAGAATGGGAGAAGAGCTGCACAGTTCTTGTTAATTATTTAGCAGCAGAGACGAAATTGTGAGCTGCGTCCATTGTTGGGACAAAAGTAAGACTCTCAGAAGTTGACAGCATGGACTCCCAGGTGAGAAGCACCCTCCTGCAGGGCTCTGTCTGCCCGATAGTGCCTCTCACTTAAAGCACACCATTATTTCACAGAAGGAGGCCTCTGGAGTAGCATTATTTTTTAACTTTTGGCTACAGTTAAGTTGGAGAACACATATACAGTTTCTGGCTCCCCAGCTTTTTTTTGTTCTGTGAGATAACCAAACCTAGGGGGGCAAAAAATATTTGTTCTTATTTTTTTCTGTCTCATTAACTTGTACCTTACCTTTATTCATGTATCTGTCTCTGAAGAAATCTTGCTATACAAGTGAAGATAGTACTGTGTTACTATGCTTTATAGTCATTCTAACTGGTGTGTTAAATGAGTCTGTGCAACACATTTTTACATGAGCTGGGGAGTGTTGTAAGCTCTTTCCATCACAAGAGGCCTTGGAAAGTAATGCCCTGTTTGATGAAGGAGGTTCCTCAGTGGCAGTGAGGTTGCTAGGATCCAGGTTTGAGCCAGTTAGAGATCAGACATGGTTTGGCCCCAGATGTTGGTAAGCATGTGCAACGACTTTTACTTATTTTTGAGCATATAAAAAATATTTGTTTCATGTGCTAGGCTCCTCTTCTTAGCTCCTCCTGTTCACCTACTCTTCAGTTCCTCCTTTCCTGGGGAAGCACACTCATGGCTCTCCCATTTGGTTTCTTTCTTTGCCATTTCTGCATCTGCTTTCTTAAGCTCAGTAGTTCTAGTTTTCCATTTCCATGACTGTTGACCTGGCCAAGAATATAGTTTGTGTCTAGAATGACCCCCAAAGGACCATGTGATAGAGCCTTAGTTCTCATTGGCACTATTGGAAGGTGGTGGGGCTATAAGAGATGGAGCCTTGTGGGAGGTCTTCAGGTAATTGAGCTTGTGCCCTTTGAGGGGATGTGGGATATTGGGTTCTTTCTCTTTGTTCTTCTTGACTGCCACAAGGTAAGCACCTTGCTCTACATTTGCTCTCTAACATGATGTGCTATCTTGCCACAAGTCCAAAAGCAATGAGACCAAGCCATCATGTGAGCCAAAGTAACTCTTTCCCCTTGTAAATTGATTATCCTGGGTATTTGTTACAGTAATGGAAAGCTAACCAGTGCACTGAGATGAGCCTTTGTCATTTCCTTAGTGACAGGCTACCCTGTCTATTTGAGTTCACCCCCACTATCTTCCCTTAACTCACTCTTGAAATCACTTTTCCAGAACACACACCCATTTTTCTGTCTCTGGGACACAGCTGTAGTGCCCCGGCCTCAAGGTAGAGTCCAGGATTTCCTGTGCTGAACCTACAGCACAGACACAGTGCTCAGTGAACCTACAGCTCAGCAGTACAAAGCATCCCTTGTGGAGTAGCCAACCTGAAGACTCCTGATTTGTTGTCCTGCAATGGAATGTAGTAATTAAATGACCTTAAATCCTTTCAGGGTGCATTGATGATGGATATGTGAAGCTCACTGTGATAAATTTTAAGAACAACAGAGAGCATCTACCTCTTATTGGAAAAGTTGGCCTTGCTTGGAGAACTAATATTTTTGATGGCTTTATAGAGGTAAAACACAGTTCTTTTCTTTTCTTCTCTTCAAGTAACCTGATTTCTGTATAATATAAAAAATGTCTGGGACTGAAGGAGTGGCTCAAGTGGTGGAGTGCTTACTTTGCAAGAGTGAAGCCCTGAGTTCAAGCCTCAGTCCCATCAAAAAAAAATGTCTTATTGATAAGTATGTATAATGCTTCCTTTAAAGTGCTGGATTTATTAAAGTTTCTAGGGATTTATACAATTACCATAGCCAACTGATAGTTCATCAAGAGTTTATTGAGTACTTTTGGTCTTCATGGAGTGTGGTTAAGTAGGACTGGTAAGTAGACTACAGCAGAGCTCTGAATAACACTGACTGCATCCTGTTCTCTCTCATACCCACTCTGTTGGTCCTGTGGAGAGAGAGAAGAACTGAAAGTTGGACCAGGCAAGTAACATTTGCTCAAAATATAGTCATCCCTGTGTACACATTTAAAGTTTGTTGCAGTTATAAGTTCTTGTTCCAGGTTGTAGGTATCTTCTTAAACAGTTAAATAAAACACTAGCCATATGGATGGGAGAATTAGTTTAGTGTTGGGAATTGGCAGGGAGGGAGGAGAAGGCAGGACAGAATCTTAACGTAGTTCCATTTCTTGTGTGAGCTATGTGCCTGACTGCTCTGGATCTCATTACTCTCCATTTGTATTTGATGGGATGAGTAAGATTTCATAGTTTTAGGAACCAGTGGTCTCAGAGGGCCTCCTGTGCCAGGTTCATTCTGCCCTATGTGTGTGGAACATTGGCAGAACCATTACTGATGGTAACTAAGAACAAGAGCAGTGTTGCTGTGGAGCATTGTCTTTTGAACCACTTAGTATTTGGCACAGTGGGAGTGTTTTACTTCTTCTGTTTGTCTGTGAGCAAATGTTTAAGTCTTGGTAAAAATTATGTTTATCACACACAAAAGAATGTTGTTTCATGTCTTTAGGAGCACAGACCCAACTTCTTATTTTTCCATGATGGTCTTAGATGAACTTGTAGTGAAAATATGTACTAAAATAAAATATTGAAGTCAAACTAGAATTTAAGGGCCAATAAAGACATATGAGAAACTTAAAAGGTCAGGATAATTAAATTTTTTAAATGTTTTCTGATATTATAGAGTAAGATGAAAGCAGTCATTTAGTTCTCTGTAGGGAAAAAGGAAATCATAGTAATTATGCCAGGAAACAAAGCTTTGTCCCAGCTCTTTACTAAAAGACAAAGTCTCACATGGGATTGTCTTCAAGATGGACTAAATCCTAACTAGCTGTTTAGCCACAACTGCACCAACAGATCTCCAAGGAGTTCTCTCAGAGGCTGAGTGCACAGCTTCCAGCCCAGAACCTACCATGGATATCCAGGCGGTGCCTCTGTAGGCTGCTATGGTGGCGTGACTCAGGGACATAGGCTTCTGGCAAAATGGCTTGATCTAAAGACAGAATTCTGAGTCCTTAAAGTAGGGAGTGTGGTGCAGGGCAGTTTCCCCATAAATTCCTTTTCTTAGATAGGGTTTGGGAGAAAAAATGGTGTGACTACTGCAAGAGTCTGCCCTGTCTCTTAGGTTGGAGGGTGGGTGGTTTGATCTGTATTTGCCATTTATATGGTGCCAGCATTAAGACTAAGCTAGTCTTGAGGTTCCCAAAGAAAGAAGCTGGGTGGGTGATACCATATTTTTCATGTTTGGTGTGCACCTCAGGAATTTCCCCCCAGGAATCTGATCACCCTAAACATAGTGAATCAATAAAATACATTTAAAAATTGTTTTACAGAAGTTAAAGATTTTTTTAAAGCAAGGACATAAAATAGAAAAAGTTTCTTAGATGTATGTAACTCTTAAAAGCAGAAGTAACCGTTTCTCCTGGAAATTATAGATATAACTTCTAATAGTTAAAATGCTCATTTGAGAAAAGGCTGGTAAGAAAGTATGTCACCCAGATATGACTCTGGTCACAAGAACAGAATGAATGGAAACATAACATTAATGGTCATGACAGAGGGCACTGCCTGTCACATTGCTTTATTTGAAGCAACATGCAATCCTGACAGATCTCTGATCCTTTGGACTTCATTGTTCCCATAAGAAGAATCTTCCCCAGAGCTCAGAGTGTGTTGACCTGCAACCCTTGCTGGCCTGGAGGAGATCAGACAGGAAGCATCTTGAGCTGGGTGTGCTGGAGTCTAGCTTCATAGCTCTCATGTTCATGTGGTACACTGTTCTACTTTAAAACAGAATCACGTTATAAGCAGATCAGTTTTTTTTTTTTAGGTCAGGCTGTATGTCAAATTCATTTAAAGTTGCTGATTATGAGTAATAATACACAGACGACAGTTACTTTGAATGAATGGTCACCATGCTGCTTTGTGCCGTGTTGGGATAGCCAGACTCCCCTGTCAAGCAGCTGTGTTGCAGTCTTCAATGTTATTCTCAATGAACACGCCCCTGATCCATTTGCTCTCTGTTCCTATTTGGATTTCCAATTGATAGATATTCTTTTGGTAATGATTTTCTTGTATGCCTTCTTTTTACTTTTTTCTTTCATTCCTTGGCATTTTTTAATGTTATTTCTAAATCTATGTAGAGCTTGGTGTCAATTTTAGTTTAAACCAGGTATTTTAGTATAGCTCTGTGGTGCTTTATGCAGGAAGACTCGAGTTCAGCAGAGCTTGCTGTGGGCAGATCATGTGTTCAGCATATTGTGGGGGTGGTGTGCCCTGTAAGAAAGGTGCTTTAGCCACTTTTGGGGATGAACTGTTGCTGGCTACATGTGTGATTAAGGTAAGAGTGGGTACAGCAGGCCGTGTGTTTGGTGTTAGAAAGATAAGGAAGTGCCTTTCTCATTTTTCTCTGGGAAGACCAGGCCATCTGTAGAGGCATCCTGTGAGGAGGTTGCAGAGGGTCCTGAGAGGAGATGAGGTTTGGCTAATCAGAGAAGAGAGAGTAAATTCCCAGGGGCACATGACAAGGTTCGTGATAATGGCTGTAAATACTTGGGGCTCCTTCATCTCTCTGTGTGGCTCTACACAGTGCTGGGAACTCAAGTCCAGACAAAGGAAGTGAAAATTAGTTGGACTCATTCAGGGTTGGGTTTTGCTATACCCGAATGTCCAGTGTGATGAAAGAGTGACAGTGGAGTTAGGTGCATCAGAGAGGTTCAATCCAGGGAAATCTGAAGTGGCCTAGAAGAGGCCTGTGACGGAGAGTTGGAAGGCTGGTGGGTGAGGTATCATGGACCTTGCTCCTCAAACCTCACATTTCCACGGAGATATTCACACATACCAACACACATGTTCATGTGTAATTAAAACAGAAGATCATAAAATGCTAGTTATACTTACTATGTTCCGTAAATACAGGTTTTTTTCTGTTTTATTTTATTTTGATGTAGTTGAGCCCCATTACCTGTAATTCAGGATGCACTAATAGGTCATCGTAACAGTGAGAAAATACTGGTCAACTGAAGTACACCTCAATGGAGGTGGGAGTGGTTGAGTGATTATAAGAGAGGGGAAGACATACAGGGCCTACAGTGTAGATTTTGGAAGTGAGAATTCATAATTGAGATGAGGTTGAGGAGTAGATCATAGGAGTCACATGGCTCAGGGATTGAGAATCAGGTGTTGGACAGCTCTGTCAGGGGCCCAGTGGGTAGCAGAGTCAGTCAAAGCATTGGTAAGCCTCAGGAACGAGCAAGGGAATGACCTAGAGAGATTCAGACAGTGGGAAACAGGCATCTTCTGGAATGAGATGGGCAGGCAGGAAGTTAGTGGAAGAATCTTAAAGAAGCAGGAGTCTATGCAAGAGTGGAAGGGATAGTCTGCCGATGGCACTGAGAAGCCAGGAAGATGTCTCCACTGCTGTCTAGGTGATGTGGCTCTCTCTGGAAGCACTGGCTCAGTCATCTCTGTCATTTGTGGAATGCCTAGACTATAAATGCACGACACAGGGATAAAGTTTATCCTACCTCTGAGGTTCTAGTACTAACTTCTGACTAAAAGCTCTTGAGTCCCTTGCCTGGGTGTTTGGATGACTATGATTGCTACCACTGGGTCATAGCAGATTCTGATTACAGTCTGTGATATAAAGGTCACATGGTGCAGTGATAGCATTTCTGGATTTTGATGTCACATGCAGCATTTCCAATAAGATTTACATTGAGTTATAATTCTAACATTTAATTGGCCATCTTATCTTTACACTTGTGAATCTGTGTTTATTTTTAGAGTTGCTCTGTGGTGGACGTAACGCTTCTGGATGAACACAGGAAGCCCTTTTGGTGTTTGAGTTCTCCAGTTTGCATGAGACCTGCTGCCTGCCCCTCTGATGGTCCTAATTTCTTGGGACACACATACTATGTTGATTATATGGATGCAGAAGGAAGAGTGCATGCGGAGTTGGTGTGGATCGAAGAGACAGAAGAATACTTCATTGTCAGTCTGGTCCTTTACCTCAGTGTAGCAAAAATAAACCATTGGTTTGGGACAAAATACTGAGTATTACAGTAGGTGGGAGGGTACTGTATTAAAAAAATTAAAGTATTGTTAATTGTTTATTTTTTTTACTAAAAGCTTTATTCTTGGTGTTGGAAGTTAAAGTAAAGCATATCTGTCTTAATCTGTTTGATGCCTTCTTATTTTACATTAGAAATTACGATCTGTAGGTCATTTTAAAGTTAATATTTTGGAGAGTAAGTTAAATTTTGAAGTCATAAAAATATCAAGTCCCAATAAACATTCATATACGATCAAAAGGGAGAAAATTGACTTCTGCCCTTGGTTAAAGGAACAAAGTCTACCTAAGCATGTGGTCATGTAGTCACTGTCTGTGTGTGCTATATATAATATAATATAATTATATTATAATATAATAACATAATGTAATATATATAATATAATATAATTGGTAAGAAGCCCAAATGAGAAGTTAAACTTAAAAATGAACTTCATGGTATCCATTAGAATTAGAAAGTGCTTACTCATAATATTCAGCAGCTACATTAATATATAATAAAACAAGGTTCAGAGACCAGGGGCCAGATTCATGAGGAAAGATACATTTCCGAGCAGGAGAAGAAACTATTACAAAGTGAAAAAACCAAGGTCTGGTCTAATACAATCGACCTCCAGCTGAGGGGGTAGAGATGGATGAGTTTTCTGTTGAACACTTACCCTGAGGAAACATTTCAGAACTGACAGCTACATTGGGTTCAAGTAGCGGTAACATGTACCCAAGCATACGCTGGGGGGCATTTGGCTTTAAATTGTATTAGGTTGTACGGCTTATGTTTTGATCATAATTTTACCTCTGTCTTAGAAGTTATTCTCAGGCATGCAGGATTAAGCTTGCCCTCCTCATTCTTGCCATATTAAGTTATTTGACCATATTTTTCCTCTTTTGAGGAATGTGAATGATAGTGAATGTGTGAGATTATAGAAGAAAGCGCTTGATGATAGCAATACAGGTTCAGAACAGATAGTAGGTTCTTGCCCAAAGAACTGTGAGTTAAGAGCATCTGAACTGTGGACACTGTCCTCCATGCCCCTGGCCTCTGACCTCAGGCCAAAGCTCTTGGGAAGAGATTTGAAATCCATACCAGACTTTAAGAGCAGAGTGTAAGGTACTGCCAAATTAAGATGATGCCACATGTGGAAAGGAAAGGTTTATTGGTTCAGACTGCAGGGCCATCACTCTTGTTGGGTTCAGAAAGAGGTGGCTTGGCTGAATTGGGTAGTGGGCTTTATAGGAGGGGCCAGGCCATGGGGGAGGAAGAGAGTCTCTGGTCTCTGATTATCTGCAATCACCAGATGGAACAGGTTGACATGCCTGGCTAGTTGAATAACTGGAAGTTTCTGAGTTGTTTTGAAAGCTGAGAAACAATTAGGCAGGGAGAAACAAGTGGTCATAAATCAGGAGGTCTGGTTTTAGGGTGTAGTCTCGGGTCCTCCCACCCACCCCAAGAATGCCAGGGGCCTAACATTCCAGCCTTTTGTTGGTATTATGGGCGCTGATCGATCTAGCTGCTTCATGCTGATTGGGGGCATTGTTAAAGCGGGGAGTTGGCTGGAATTAGGAAATTTGTGGGGTCCCCAGGAGCGGAGGCTGACGGTTTGTCCCAGTCTTCATTTGCAGACAAGGCCAGTTGTTGGGAGAAGGTTGTAGTAGCATCTGGTGGGAAGTCTGTCTGCTAAGTTCCCTGAATGATCCTGGAGGCATCCAAGGGTTAAAGAGCATTTTCCTGGTTTAAGGGTTTGTATTTCCATAGCATGCAGCTGTTTTTCTTTCTCTAGTAGCCTCTCTAATGGACCTAATAGATCACATAACCAAGGGAAGGAAGCAGCGAATATTATGCACACTCCCAAACTTAGGCCCACTGCCCTCACCAGTGTTCTAAATCCACCTATGGCAGAAACCCATCCTCCAAACAACATTGAGGTCCCATCCTTTCCAAGTCTGGACAGGGACATGGGCAAGCTTTGTCATTCCCTCAGTGATCTCCTCTATGGCTTTTCTTTCATCATCAATCTGCAGGCAGCAGTTGCTCAGATTAAATTTTCCACAAACTCCTCCCTCAGAGGCTAACAAATAGTCCAAAGCCAAGCGGTTTTGGTAGATTGCATTGCGCCTCTTAGTGCCTTGTTTTGCCAGCAAATTGAGGACTCTTGCAGTCTCATTAATAATAATTTCAACAACAGCCTGCAGCCTGATGATGCAGTTGAGCATATATGTAGGGGTGCGGTAGTCCCAAGACCTGTCCTCTGCCCAAGTGGCAGGACCATAGTACTGGATGATTCACTCAGGGGGCCATTTGTCATCCTTCCAAGTGCCTATTTGTAAGGTTCCCCATTTTTTTCTATTTAATCTTTGTTCAGATATGGGGACTCCCAGGTTTTCACCTTGTTCGAGGGGGAGCAAGAAGAAAGATGGTCTGATGGAGCCCAGCACACAAGACCCAAACCAGTTTCTAGGCAACACCGTATAGGCTTGCCTTCCACAGATCCAATACAGCCCCCTGGGAGCCTGCCAGTTTATATCTGCAGTAAGATCATCCCATGCTGTTTTGAGATTAGAAAAGTTGGCCAGTCGGTGAGGCTGGGGTTCCTTATGGCTTGGGGTTCCCCACCACTGAGTCTCTTGGGCTGTGTCATTGTAAAACTTCTGTTCTAGACAAGTTAGGTCCCCCACTAGGGTGGAGAATTGTTTTCCATTGCGGGAGATACAGTAATTCCCAACAATGGAAGTTTTAAGGAGCCAGATGCCTGTCCTGTGTTGTGGGAAGGCACTTTCATTGAAAGGCTCTTGTGGCTCTAGCTCTCTTGCCTCCCAGGGCCAGTGGTCTCCCATGTTGGCTCCCCAGCACACATAGCATGAAGTGACATTTAATGTCTGGGCTGTAGATTCGGCCAGTGTGAGGAACAAGTTTTTAGTTGTAACAGAGATGGGGAATTTATCTGGTATTTCCTCATAAAAGGAGTGGAAGATCTGGTATGGGGAACTCTCATGGGTAACAGTTGTTAACTTAAGGTGTAACAGAGTCCCGGGGTCAGAGCCTTGGCCATCTATCCTTATGCTAATTGTTTGTCCCTGTGTCTAATCAGATGGCTTAAGTACAGTGAAATTTACAGGGTTACAGGTGCCTTGACTGCAGTTAGGGGCAGTAGTGCCCTTTTGAAGGAGGGCTAAGTGTGTAGCCCTGTGCCATGTGGCCCATGAAATCCAACTCCAATAAGGGCAAAAATGATAGCCCTCATTATTACACAGCCAGGAGTTGTCTCCCCTTTATTATTCATATGTGCATACAAGGCTTGGGTCATTTCTCCCCCCTGCCCCCACCCCCTCCCTTACCACCCACTCCGCCCCCTCCCTCTCCCGCCCACCCCCTCAATACCCAGCAGAAACTATTTTGCCCTTATTTCTAATTTTGTTGTAGAGAGAGTATAAGCAATAACAGGAAGGAACAAGGGTTTTTGCTGGTTGAGATAAGGATAGCTATACAGGGCATTGACTCACATTGATTTCCTGTGCATGTGTGTTACCTTCTAGGTTAATTCTTTTTGATCTAACCTTTTCTCTAGTTCCTGGTCCCCTTTTCCTATTGGCCTCAGTTGCTTTTAAGGTATCTGCTTTAGTTTCTCTGCGTTAAGGGCAACAAATGCTAGCTAGTTTTTTAGGTGTCTTACCTATCCTCACTCCTCCCTTGTGTGCTCTCACTTTATCATGTGCTCAAAGTCCAATCCCATTGTTGTGTTTGCCCTTGATCTAATGTCCACATATGAGGGAGAACATGATTTTTGGTCTTTTGGGCCAGGCTTACCTCACTCAGAATGATGTTCTCCAATTCCATTTATTTACCAACGAATGATAACATTTCATTCTTCTTCATGGCTGCATAAAATTCCATTGTGTATAGTTACCACATTTTCTTAATCCATTCATAAGTGGTGGGGCATCTTGGCTGTTTCCATAACTTGGCTATTGTGAATAGTGCCGCAATAAACATGGGTGTGCAGGTGCCTCTGGAGTAACAGTCTTTTGGGTATATCCCCAGGAGTGGTATTGCTGGATCAAATGGTAGATCAATGTCTAGCTTTTTAAGTAGCCTCCAAATTTTTTTCCAGAGTGGTTGTACTAGTCTACATTCCCACCAACAGTGTAAGAGGGTTCCTTTTTCCCCGAATCCTTGCCAACACCTGTTGTTTGTGGTGTTGCTAATGATGGCTATTCTAACAGGGGTGAGGTGGAATCTTAGTGTGGTTTGATTTGCATTTCCTTTATTGCTAGAGATGGTGAGCATTTTTTCATGTGTTTTCTGGCCATTTGAGTTTCTTCTTTTGAGAAAGTTCTGTTTAGTTCACTTGCCCATTTCTTTATTGGTTCATTAGTTTTGGGAGAATTTAGTTTTTTAAGTTCCCTGTATATTCTGGTTATCAGTCCTTTGTCTGATGTGTAGTTGACAAATATTTTCTCTCACTCTGTGGGTGTTCTCTTCAGTTTAGAGACCATTTCTTTTGATGAACAGAAGCTTTTTAGTTTTATGACGTCCCATTTATCTATGCTATCTCTTAGTTGCTGTGCTGCTGGGGTTTCGTTGAGAAAGTTCTTACCTATACCTACTAACTCCAGAGTATTTCCTACTCTTTCCTGTATCAACTTTAGAGTTTGGGTTCTGATATTAAGATCCTGGATCCATTTTGAGTTAATCTTGGTATAGGGTGATATACATGGATCTAGTTTCAGTTTTTTGCAGACTGCTAACCAGTTTTCCCAGTATTTTTTGTTGAAGAGGCTGCTATTTCTCCATCGTATATTTTTAGCGTCTTTGTCAAAGACAAGTTGGTTATAGTTGTGTGGCTTCATATCTGGGTCCTCTATTCTGTTCCACTGGTCTTCATGTCTGTTTTTGTGCCAGTACCATGCTGTTTTTATTGTTATTGCTTTGTAATATAGTTTGAAGTCAGGTATTGTGATACCTCCTGCGTTGTTCTTTTGACTGAGTATTGCCTTGGCTATTCATGGCCTCTTACAGCACATATAATTTTCATTTGATGTACAGATCCTTTCCCAACCCAGGCCTCCACAGCCACAGCCTGTACCTCCAC